AACCAGACATAGGGAGGCATCTCAATGTGGACTCCGAAAACAAGATGAATTGGTTATAAAGACTCAAGAGCGTGCTTCCACGAGGAATGGTGTCTGAAGCTCTCAAAGCGCTAGTCAAGACGGCACAGTTAGAAGGGTGCACCATATCACAGATAAGACGGAATTTAAAAAAAAGCTATGTCTGAACACCACAAGGAACGGAAGCCAACAATGACCTCATAAACACCATGTGAAAACCGAAATTTGGTAAAAAAAACATTGAAAAACTTGAGATGAAGTCAACTGACCGGAATGCTGGTGAGCAGTGAGCTGGAACGTTCTTGTGTCGTTTTTCGAAACGGCGGTACTTCTTGACAAAATGAAGATAGTCACGACGAACAACGATTGTCCTTGTCATCTTGTTCTTCAAGACTACACCAGTCAATATATTTCCACGGATCGCGCAGTTACCAGTCCAGGGACATTTCTTATCGATGTAGGTTCCCTGGCTAGCCTAAACCAATTTGAATAAGAAATCACCGACCCAATCTGACAAAGTTTAAAAGGTATTACCTCTAAGGGCGTCTTGAAACCAAGTCCAATATTGCGAACATATCGAGGAACCTTTTTGTTGCCGGCCAATATGCGAGCCTTGTTATTTAGGTTGATTGTTGGTTGCTTCAGAAATGCCCTCTCTACTTGTTCAGCCATGTTGGCTTCCCAGGTTCTAAAAGACACACAGCTAAATGAAAACACGTACTTTCATGCAGTCAATCCGGGAGACGACTCCAACAACATGCAAAACACAATTCAAAAAACATCGACGTGAAACAATGAGCAAAAGCTGCGGACTCGCAAGAGATTACCGCGAGGAATAAGAAGACAACGAGCGAAATGCACGTTCATAGGAGAACCGTCGTATTCACGAAATAACCATTCCGAATCTTAAACAAACAAACACAACAAGTTCAACCATCGAAAACACCGTCCTAAACACATACCCATTGGCCTCAAGGTTAGGCTTATATAGAGCATCTTAAAATCTGCTTCTTACATAACAAATCAAGCGAAAAAATGCCAAATACACTCATTTAACACCTGAAAACCAGTTAAATTCTTTAGGCAGTCAAAAGAAGTCGCTTCGGTTTCTGCGTAGTGGACAACACTGTAGCGAGCCTCACTTCAGGACCAACCCGCGGCGTGCGCATGCCGCCCTTTAATGACAACGCGCTGCGCTGTTGTTCACTTAGCCAGTGGTCCTTCTTCTGAAAACCAGCCGAGGTAACCTCTGTTTCCAAACCTTTCCAGAAGTCTCAGACACTAGGTCCTCTTTTGGTTAACGGAGCGAAGTACGGGGGCGGGGGAGGAGGGGCAGAACTCACATTTGCTCCTCAGCAAAGTTTTCGTCGCACTCGGTGCGTCGTATGGTGGGAGTTTACGGCAAAAATTCATAAGATTCGTCCCCCCCCCCATAAGCAGGAGCAGGCCCTCCTCACTTCCTTCACCGTCTTCAGAATATGACGCCATCTGCCATCGACATCGGGCTTACGGCCTACCGTAGTTGCTCCAGCCTAAAGTTGCTATGGGTATAAGTTTGGAAGCAAGTCCCAGCAGGTTTTTACCTTTCAACACTAATGGTGTGGAACGATGCGCTAGCCCTAGTCAAGAACATAAGAAGTGTGACTGAACAAAAAACTCACCTTGGAAAGCCGCTAGAAAGGGAGCTGAACGGCTTCGAAGTGGGCGTGGTTGCTCAGTCGGCTGCAATCCCCTCGGCCAACTCCCAACCACGCCCACTTCGAAGCCGTTTAAGAAAGAAAAAACCTTTATAAACGAAATAATTAAAATGGTTCGTTTCGCTCCTTCCTCAGACGAACCTTATTATTTCGTCAATCCCCGGAGCTCATCAGTGAGTTGGGATTGGCGAAATAAAGACACAGGGGAAAGACGAATAAACCTTGAGCTGACGTACAAATATTGTTATCTATTAATATCATGTTATGCTCATTTTCCAGCGGCCTTTCCAATGTGAGGTTTGTTTGCTTCGATCACAATCTCGAGGTTCTTGCTAGAGCTAGACAAACAACGTCCACGCCATTAGAGTCGAAGGTAAAAACCTACTGGGACTGTTGTTTTCAATCGGCTAACTGTAGATGTAGAGGAGATAGTAGATTAGTTGACCTAGAGACTGGCTCTGATTATGCAAGATCTTTCCGGCCAGCTTTTCAAATAAATGAATAATGGTCCACGATCCATCGAGGACCCCAGGAGCTCGGAAGGGCGCTATGTTCCCATTTTCCTCCTGATGTCATCCGTGTATAAGGCTTTTACTGTGTTTTATAGACTGGTACGTGCTCTTCAATTTTCAGTTGGGATCATTCGATATGAATTTAACGAAGTGTAATCAATTCTAATTTAAATGTAAGAAAAGATGGACTTTTTGCCCTTCCTGCTCATCCAAACCAACCAGTCCTGCATGATCCTTTATCGCGTTCTGGAAGAGTGAGAGGCCAAGTGTGGTTGTATGCGTCTTTTACAATCCGCCTTATTTGGCAATTTTTTGTTAAAAGATCTTAAACAAGGTTATGAACTCTCCATTGGTGCAACAGTTTACAAAGTACCTATAATTGAGCTCATAAGTAAAAAGTATGAGTAGTATGAGTGACCAAACATGATTTTATGACGATTGATTTTCGGAGTAGGTATGGCTCACTAGGACAGAAAGCGACTTTTTCGTGTTTCGCAGCGCGAAACATTTTCGCTGTAGGAACTACAGGTCCACCCATGATCAGTGATGGACCCGAGGTTCCCGCAGCGAGACTATGTTCGCGTTCGCGCAAATGCGAAAAATCCGCTTTCTGTCCTATAGTGGACCACAGGTGGCGAGTATAGCGGGAGAACTGGTTTTCCAGGAGGGTAAGGTGTGGTACTGGAAGCGCATCATTCAGTCGCACTGCGATCGTAAGACTGACGTCAGAGTCCGCGATTCGCGCCGGATCACAGAAATCCCAAGGCCATTTTTGCTTGATGGTGATGGTTAAATGACGACTGTTCATGTTCATGATTTCATACTCCGTGTTCCAATGCTCAACTGGGGCATTTGCTATTTTTGCGATGCGCGACGGATCGCGGACTGTGATACCAGCCTAGCGATCGCACAGCGTTAGATACGTATCGATCACGGTCAACCACCGGAGACGTCTGTCGATCGATACCAGGGTCAAGGCGTGCGTTTGGAATCCTCGACAGGTCGACAAAGGGGGGGGTATATTGGCCGCTGGGAGGAAGAAATTGGGCCGGATCGATGCACTAGGATCATCACTATCGGAGAACAAACATCTAGGATCGAATCGATGCCATGAAAGGCCGGAGGGTTCCCAAATACAATTTTGTCCCCACGTACTAAGTTCACGTGATTCAAAGCAGTCCTGGGGTAGTAATCCTAGCTGCCTCACCATCAGCAGCTTATTACTGCACAAGGTAAGGTATCCGGAATCGCACGTTTGCCGACGGATATTTTATCTTTCATCAGGTCCTCGAATCTGAAGGGTGGGAAAGTAACATGGCGCAGTTCCGAGTGAGCCCAGTAGCTGCGCGCGCTTCAAATAGGCTTTTCTGGACAGCAAAAAAACTCAATTCAAGAAAAATCAAGAAGATTCTGAACGGGTCCGTGTTAAATTACAGGGAGGAATCCACTACTCAACAGAAATGCAGTCTTCAGCGTCAAATTCATCATGTAAGTGTTAAACTATGAGAATCGCGAACCAATTTTACTCTTTTTGAAAAGGAAAAAAAGTTGTGGATTCCGATTTGTTCCCATTTTTGTGCAAAATCGCTTTCTGAAAAGCAGCTATAACGCGTTGAAATAGTGCCATTGCAGCAAAGTACTTTCAGCGGTACTCGGGCAAAAATCTTCAACGTGGCCATTTTCCAGAATACTCGATGCATGCTACTTGCCCGCATACTTCAAAATTAGTCCATTCGGCTCCAAGCGTAATAGGTTCTGTATTCAAAGGTAGGATACTGCTGTACCTCTATAGAGTTCACGACAGCACTCTTTCTCATCAAGTTTCTTTTAAGAGACCGTAAAACCCCTCTGAACTCTGACCAGTGAGCTGGACGGCCGTTGAAAGTCGTTGAGATGTGCATCCAAAAACAAGTAGTGTTATACGTTCAATGCAAACAGATATTCTGGGACCTTTCCCTTATCAGCCCAGGACTTCATCCTCGCATCGTGTGATTGCGGGCAGCCGCCGTTGCCTACCATAGACATGGCGCTCAGAAACATCATCTTAAAAAAGGCAAAGGATGTGTAAGGATTGTTCAAAAAGCACATCAATTACCCGTAAACTACTACTTTTACTCGAGTAGCATTGTTACGGATGGCGTTTCCTTACGGCTCAATGACGCACACGAAACAGGTGGCCGAGACCGGAAGCATGGTTGACGGCATTTGCAAGGCAACAACACGAGCAGCAGCTCAATTGACAATTTTCACACACAATCATCTTTCATGAAAAAAATTTATATCGCATTTATAATACATAATAATTTGTCGCAATCAGTTGACGTGCCATTCATATCACTTAAATTCTTTTTACAAACAAACAAAATAATTTCAAAACGACAATAAAAAAAGATCACAATGTCAGGTTATACAGATCAAGAGAACGCTTTGATCCGGGGCGCGCGCCGCTTTCAGTACAGAGAGAAAACTCATACACGCACACACTCGCACACACTGATTGATACTCTAACGACCACCAGTGATGTCACTATGGCGCTGGCTATGCAGAAAGATGCACGATGAACCGGAGAACTAGAAATGAAATGAGAAAATGCATTACATACACGATGATGAGGGATGGAGCGACGCGTCATGTAGTTGGGATTTGAGGGTGGGATAGCTGCTATTATAGGCTACTGATTGATTATAGGAGTTAAGTGGTAAGGAATGAAAGTATCGAGTGTACTGACTTCGTTTCGTAAACACAATTAATAACGAATTCGATTGATAATTAATAAATGGAAAACAATATGACAAGGGAGCAAGAGGGGAAAAACAACTACTACGACGTAACACACAAGCTGCAAATAAAAATAATCTGTGCATAGAAAAAGCAGAACTCTTCGGATACTATGCATTAGGTGCCGAGGATTGGCTTTGAGATCGATGAACAGCACTGACAAAATTGTAAACGAATATCTTTAGGTAATAATAATAAAAAAATGATAATCAGATTCATATCTGGCCACGATGAAGGGTAACTGGTTATGAAATCAACGAAGTGTAATGAATAGCAGCTTTCGAATTCGTGGACACTTGGGCTGGATTTATGACAAAATATGAAAAAAAGGAGATGTGGGAGGACAACGACGAGATTATATGAAGAGAGGCGCGAATCAGTGGATTTGTTAGTTTTTGATTTGTTTTTTTTTTTTTTTTTTTTGTTTTTCCCCACAAAAACGAGTAAGTGACATGAAGCATTAAGAGCCGCGTGAGAACAACACATCTTGGAGGGATATCAGACTGGGATTAGCCCTTGAGTTGTAGCCTTACGTGATAAAACTTAAAAGAATGAACATGGTCTGATTTGGAAATCAAAGATAAATTGAAACCTCGATTATAAAAGGACACTACGCGCTAATCCAGGTCTAGAATAACGAGCCGTACTGCTTGCGGTTGTCAAGGATTCTAGAATTTAGCAAAAATTATTAAAGCAACAGTTCAGGAACGGTTTCGCGGGAAAAAACCACCAATAATGAAGTTGTAGATGAAAACCAGACGATTAATGTATGAAAAACTGGAAAAAAACGTCGGGGAGGGTCTTAGACAGGTACTCTCCCTCTGCCGCTCAGCAATGGATAAAGACGCACGTTGGACGAGTTGTCTGAACGTGCCCGCTGTAAACGCGCTCCATTTTTCAATCAATTTTCCCTGTGGTCCCAAAACGAGCACGATTGCCGACGCGTCCAATGACGGCCGGCAAGGGGGCGGGATTGGGGAAATCCCCAAGAACACCCATGTTTGAGGGACTTTCCACCCTGTTTTTGAGTTTCTGAGGTAAGTTCGTTTATTATTTCCACTGCATATGTTCTTCACTAGGGCTCGTGTATCCCTCAGTAGTAGTGGCATTGAAATTTTCGGACCCTCCCTGAACTGTTGCTTTAAATGGTATTCTTCCTATAACTATTCCCTGACGACCCTTGATCGTGAGCGTTAAATGTCGAGAAGAGATCAACCAGGATTCGAAATCACGAGTCTTGAATACTTCTAGATATGTGGTCAGTACAGCGGCAACGGCTAAGCGCCGTCTGTGTCATTCGACAAGCTGAAAGGTGAAGAAAAGACAGAAGAAAGAGAAGCAGAATTTCCGTAAAGGCAATATTTGGAGTTTTGTGTCTCTTACGACGTCTTTTGAGAAACTAGTAGGACCTACAGCACCATCAATATCGAGAATCTAACAGATTTGACACACTAATGCAGAACGTTCGAATGCGCAACATAATTAGACGAACATATCACAATTTCTAGGCACCGAGTAAACGAGGATGTATGTGCATGACAAGAGAGCTACATAAATAGCCTACGAACGGTCCAGCGTGCTTCACAATTAGGTCAGCGACCGGGCAGTCGACTTTTAGAACAGTGCATACCCGGTTCCAAAGATGTCAATTCGTCATACCAAACCCGAGCTAGCTGTTCCTTCAGTGACGGTGGTCACGGTGCCTGCTGCGTCGACCACGGTAGCACCGACGCATTTGGTCGCGTCATTCCCGGCAAATTGGACATTCCACGAAGAGCCTTATCAGTAGCACACCGCAAACGTTCAGCTTCCGTATCGGAATCATCTTAATTAAATAAAACGTGCCTCAATAAACATGCGTAGGAAAAATGGAAAGAAAACAACAGACTTACCGGAGAACTCGACAGCCAGCGGCTCCGAGGAGGCTATTGGTATTTGCGCAGTAGTGATCACAGGTGGCAACTTAGACTTCCCTACAGCTTTATCTGTAGAAGAGGAGTTTGACGGTTGGACAGCCAGTGGACTTGCTGGAGATTTCACCGGAGGCGCAATCACCAGTGCAGGCGATTCAGGACCAATACGTATCTTGAGCCTTGGTATCCTCACTGCTTCGGTCTAAGACAGTAACGGTACGTTTGTTGAATGAACAGCAACTTTCAAGGGTCGCAATGTCCCAATAGATCAAACTTCAACACTATGGCGAAGCTAGAGACTAGTCGTGGCCAAACCTTGTCAAAAGAGTAAATTTCTAGTTTACGGACTATTTGCACTTAACGCAGTGGTCCTGCCGCGAATGATGATCTAGAGCACAGGTGATTAGAGAATAGAGTCTGGCTCTAACCCCATTTTCAAGGAGGAAGGTAAGAGACCAGAGACTAAGCTCGGAGAGAAAGGAAGGTGAACCAGAGTGAGTGAGCCAATTACAGTGTGTCAAAAGTTTGAATGTGTGAGATCACAATGTCATGAGCTGCTGTTTAGGCACGAGTTCGCAGGCGGAAGCACCAAATTAAGCGGTTTAATACGGTGAAGACCGCGCATGTTTCACGTTCTACGATTTCAGCGCAATCTTTAGGAACTTTATCAAGGGAATTGGAAAGAAGAACCTACTGTATGATGCAGAAGAAACCTTATCGGATGAAATGGAAAAGAAAACAAAGAAAACCTAATATTTGTTTCCGAAATGTGGGCTGAAAGGTCCTAAGCGGTCGGTAGATTGCAGCTCACACATGGGCTGCATGAGCCCAGGGTGTAAAAAGATCGAGTTCAAGTAGGCCGTGAACAGAATTTTTTTATAACAAACATTCAAGGAGGTAAACCAAGAAATGGGCGTCAAAAAGGCGCCACAAAAAAAAAACAGTTGATCACTAGAACAACTAGAGATCAGCCCAGAAATTACAGACAGAGAATACTCTATAGTTTCTGCTCATTGCTGAGCAGGCAATTCATGACAAAAATAATCACCGTACCGTAGGAGCTGACGCTTTTGACGTAGAAGGCTGTGACTCCAACACTTTCTCTTTCATCTGCACCTCTGAGGACTCGCCTGACGACAACGCAGCCTGTGAAGGAGTGGCTGAACCACTGCTGTTTGTCGCCACACCAAACTTCAGCTTCATTCGAACACCATTTGACGTAACAGCGACCAGTTCCTGTGTGAAGTAATACATGCGAACAAACCTCAAAATATGCTAGCAAATAGAACCGTGAACTGAGTGAATCTGAAATCTACCTGTGGTGACGTGGCGTGCTTCTCTTTCCTATTTTGCAACTTTTTGTGCCCTTTTGAACGTAGTTTCTCTTTGTGATGCCTCACACCTCCAATATGTTCCTTATGCCGCTCTTTCTTCTTCTTCTTGTGTTTCCTGTGTTTCTTATCGCCGTCTTTCACACTGTTTTCGTTGTTCTCAATGTATACTTCCTTTCCACTCAACTTCAACTTCAATTTTATTGGAGGAGCTCTTACGCAGTTGGGTGGCTAAACATAAAACGTTAAATTCAATAAATCCTTCGATCCATCATAACACATACCTGAACTTTGTCCCCTGTGTGATGGTTAATGCAGTTGACATCCTTTCCTATTAAGCCAGGTTCCACTGTAGGCTCACGTTTAGAAACTGTAGGCTTCAGTGGTGATACAGGAGTTGGACGTGGTACCTACAATATGCTGCGAATGAGATGAATAGGCAACAAAAATGATAGAAAACTAAAAAAAAGAAACAAGAAGAAGAGAAGGGGATCAGAAGTACAAGTAAGACTGCAATAAGTAATAGACCCAGAGAGAACACATGAATGCACAACGTAAATGGAGGCCGCTGCAAGGTAAGCAACCCAAAAGAGGCCCGTCGCGCGGCCAGAAGGCAGAGTCGTGGACGAGTTGTAACCAGGGTCAAGCGTGCGTTGAGGATTTCCTCAACGATGACTCACTACCGCGCGAGAACGTCTCTGATCGGACAGAGAATCCTCAACGTGCCGTTGAGAAATCCTCAACGCACGCTTGACCCTGGTTGTAGCGCGTGTTGTGTGATGTGTAGCGTACGGTGATAAATTCTATTTAACTTGACGCGAAATCACTACAGTACGCGCTGCAACTCGTCCGCTGACTTTGCCTTCTTGTTCTTGCGACGGGCCTCCTGTCGGGTACCCCAAAGTAAAAGACGGTCCCCAAGACATTCAGAAAAGAAGGAATCATATCTGTGTAGAACAGATGAGAACCGAACTGTCGTCACGTTCATGATACCATATAACGAAACCATTCGAAGAGAAATGAAAAGTACATAGCAAAGATGCAAGCAAGACAAAAAAGGACAAACAGAACATAAAATCGGATAGGATGACAAGGCCTCTGACCAGACTCACCTCAAGACCAGAAAAAAGACAAGAAAGTGAGAAAGTAAAGACAACAAAAATACTGTGCCATAGAAGAAAAATCGAGATTGCTCCACCTGAGGTTTGAAGCGGAAGCGCTCGGCTGGCTTCTCTTCGACTGATGGCTTTGCTGATGGTCTAACATTCTCTTGTTTCACTAATGGAGACGAGGTTCGAGCCGGTGGCACGACTAACTTCTGGAACGAAAGAAAATTATTATAGTAACAATACAAACTACTCGTTTGGTCATGAGTACTAACCTCTCTTCTGGGCAGCGGTGGAGGCAGTGGAACAGCAGGTTTCTGAGGAGGTAGCCTAGGTGGTGGTGGTGGTATGGGCACAGGCCGGCTTTGTGGAGGCACACTGGGTTGAGGGACAGGAGAGCGAGGTTGCATCGATGTAGGTAAAGGAATTACATCGTCGATACCAAGCTCCGGTGATGCCGATCCATCTGAATCTTCGTCCTCCAGCGAATTGCGATTGTACAGCAGTGATGTTGTAATGCTGGTGTGAGCAGGTGGCGAACGCATTTCAGCTGGTACTCCTTGCCTCGCTCGGCACAGCAATTCCTTCTTTGCTGGTAGACGACCTGGCGTCGAGACAGGTGCATGAGCATCCAGTACCCCCTTTTTCCTTTCAGATACACGTGAAGGAGCGGTCACAACAGGAGAAGGAGCTGGTCACAACAGGAGCAGGAGCTGTCACAACAGGAGCAGGAGCTGTCACAACAGGAGCCGGAGCTGTCACAACAGGAGAAGGCGCCACAGGAGCAGGCTTCTCAGGAATGGGCAGCACTGGAGGAGGTTCAGGAAAGGCCTTCTTGGCGACAGGAGCTTCAGGAACGGCCTTCTTGGCGACAGGAGCTTCAGGAACTGCCTTCTTGGCGACAGGAGCTGCAGAAACTGCCTTCTCTGAGGCGACCTCCACAGGAGTGGAAACAGCTGCGGGCGTCACAGTAGTGGTAGGTACTGGAGCACGTGATGTGGGAGCGGATGTCACAGATGCAGGCGTTCCAGGAGCAGAAGTAACGGGAGATGGCGCCATGGGTGAGCTCTTGGAAGAATCTTTGCTGACCGCTTTCCTAAAAAAGTAAAATTAAGGCAAAAACAGTATAATTGATGAAATTTATGCAAAAACTCATGTTTCTGTTTGCCCCCTCCTTAAGGGTTCTCACAAAGGAAGGATTTTCACAATTAAGAAAAATATGATGATGGCTTTGCGTTCGTCTAGAGAGAGAAGGAAAAATAACAAAAAGATATACGGAATAATTAAAGCACGCATTCCGTAGCAATAAAAAGTATGCATCACCGACTAACCTCAAAGGAGTACTCCTACGAGTAACCACACTTGAGAGCGGAGGTGGCAGTGGAGTACTACGAGCCTCACTCTTTTCCGACCTTCAAATAAGAACGTTTTCACAGAGCAATCAGAACTTACATTCTCAGATACAACACAGTCATCGAAACATTTGACAATAACGGTAGGAATTCTAAAGAGAGAAGATGAATGACATACGTGGATTCCGAACTCGTTCGTGGTTTAGGTTGCCCACGAGCCCGAGCATGTTCCTGTACGGGGGCCGGGGACATGTGGATAGACTGTGAACAGTTCCTTGCACGAATACGAGGCGAATA